ATATCAGATCAAACCAAGCCTTCATACTAGTGGGGAATCGAAAATCGAACAGGAGTATTTACAAATGTTTAAACAACTCTAATTATTCAATTATGTACAAGCTGCTCAGTGTCAGATAACAATACAAAGAATTAAATTGTGGTGGATTGCTACAAGTTCTTCAAATACCTATAGAATAATAGGTATCTTTTTGGTGAGTGTAAAACACGTATGATACTTCACTAGTATGAAGGCTTGGTTTGATCTGATATTTCATTGGTGGTAGTGTCCAGGGTCACTGATGAGGAGTGGAATTCTCTGAAACCAGTCTGGCTCATAGACACACACCCCAATGAAATAATGGACCATTTCAAGCTTTAACTTGTTGTTAAACAAATGTTTAAACAACTCTAATTATTCAAAGTTAATATGTTTCATTGATGTGAATTTGTGCCTTCATCCTTTTTTTGTTTTGTTTAGAAGTTAATTTCACTGAGATTCTAACAGTTTTTTTAAATCCTAAATATGAAGAAAAAAAAGTGATACACAATTTACAAAGGCAACTGCTTATTTACCTTACAACAAATATTGAAAACTGATTTAGACCAGAAAAGGAAAATTCTGACTTCTGTTGCTTAAATAATAAAAGAAAGAACTATGGAACACCATTACTGAATGCCTTCTTATTAACACTTTCCAAACCAATGGAGCATCAGTGATATTTCTTAATTTTTTTCCTTCTCACAGTGGAAATACTTAATCAAATTGCATAAAAGTTAGAATGAAATTACTAAATAGCCTCTAGTTTCAGCTTTAAAAATATTCAAATGTATTAGTTTTTTATCATTTTGTTTATTGTGAAATTTCTAAACTTTTTTGTCAGATACTCTTTTGAAAAAAACAATAAAAATACTACCTTTTATTTAATATTTTTTAATGTTGATTGGAAATTCTATCTTATAAATCTAGGTAGTTTCAACTTGAGTGATATTCATTAACATTTCTTGTGATACTTTATTTTGCTGATTAAAGTATTCACCACTTCCAGCCATAAAGCATAAAAACACTCCACAGAAACTTACAAAGATTTATCAATGAACTAGAACTTGACCTTTCAAAATGGCATCAGGTCAGACTAGGTAACAATATTTTTGATAATAATTAATAGTCATGGTCAAGATGAATTTATATCTAATTCCCAGATCTGTGGTTTGTTCTAAACTTCCCATTAGATTACCTTATTCTTCTCTGCAAGAGTTATATCTAATCACTTTCCAACCAAATCATAAATTACATTCACACAACTTTATTACTCTACATTGATGTAAATATTTTATAATCTGCTCTGTCCAAGGGTTTTTAAACTTTGCCAGTAACTATTTTCAAAACTGAGCTTCATTAGTAGTTTTTCAGACCACATGCTGTGACATAATGGAATGGTGGGAACAAAGGTCTTATAATAATAAAACATCAAACACAGAAAGAAAGTCAAAAGAGAACAAAAACTTGGCTAGTTGTATTTTCAAGGGATGAAAACTAATTAAAAAATATAAATATGTGTGCTGGAATTGGCAGAAAAAAATCTAAAAATGTCTTTAAGTATATTGTTTATAAGCTAAACTTCTTGGAGCTAGGCAGAAATGTAAGAATGAACATTTAATTAATGCTTGAAACTGTCAGTACTTAGTGAAACTCCATAATTACAGAATGGAGGAAAACAAGGACAATTTCATATATTGCGATCATAGTTAAAGGCAAAACTAGGGTTATAATATTCACGAAATGTACAATTGTCTTTATTTTTCTCAGTCTTGATCATGTTTTTATTTTATTTTAAAATTACACTAAGTAAATTTTAAAATAAATGACAATTAATATCATTTCTAAAATATTTTTCAGTTAAAATTTCATGAGTTAGAATTATTTATTATTTTTACTTAAATTTTAAAATTTGTTATGCAGGAATGCACTAAAAACCTGAAATATGCTCTGAAAGGATTAATAATAAAAAAAGGAGTTGTTATGTCTGATTATTACCTTTTATATTCAAAGCACTGGTGATGATTACACAAACATATTTATTAAGTTTTCTAATTGTTAAAAGCTCCTAAAAGGTTTGCTAAAAATATTAACTCCAGGAGTTTCAGTAAGAAAACAATGTATACAAAAATAATGCAAAATGCTTTTTGAAATGTTTACAAGAGGGTAATATGTTTTACTGAGAAAGCTTACTCATAAATATACAGTTATGACTTTGATTTGGCTTAATTTATACTCTTGAAGAGATATCTGAATGATTAGAAAACTTGTTCACAAGTTGCCGTTTTCCAACTTTATTTCCAGCTGAAAAGTGAATGACATCATACAAAAAGCGTGTCTCACATTGTGTATTGGAAATTACCGAGAATATGGTCAACTATGACATTAATAAAAACAACCTTTGATCTGTGCTAAAGTGAAACATCTAAACCACACTTTTTGTTAGGTGATGGTGCAAAACATTCTACATGTATATATATACATTGCTAAACTAATGTTAATTTTAACAAACAGTGGGACAAGATGGTCAAGTGTAACATTTAAAAAAATTATAATTGCATCCTGCACCTGCATCACAAATGACTCAAAAAAACTTTTAAGGCAAATTGCAAAAAGTATGAAACTTTTAATTTTCTACTTTATGAAATCTCTGAACCCTTAAACCTGTTGAAATCCTTATAAAATGTTTCAACTAGAAATGTCATTTAAGTCCTTCAACTGAAAGATAAAAGTTATTTGATAATTGTAATAAAGGTCTTAAATTCTTGAGCGTGGTTAACTTTCACTCTAAAAATTATTACCTAAATGATTATGCAGTTACAAGTTCTTCAGTTGTTTTAAGTATTATTTGTGAAGTCAAAAGTTAGGGAAAGGAACAAGACATTTTCCATATGTTGTTAAAGTTTTTTTGGTAGTTGCAAATTTGAGCCCCCTGGCACTGTCAAGGAATGAACTAGACTGAGGTTTTATAGGTTTGTTTGATTTATTAGTCTAAAAATATATTGTTTTTTTGTAGCATTTGAAAGTAGCTAAAGACAATATGATAAATATAACAATGTAAAATTATCCTTTAGTACAGTGTATCTCAACCCATTGGTCATGACCCAAAATTGGGTTGTCTGAATGTGTGATAAGGTAATGGACAGACTTTGTAAGTAGATAAGTTGCTAATAACTAGTTAATAAGCCAGATGTTTATTTGCATGAAACTGACTAACTGCTTTAGTGAAAAGAAACTGATAATGCAAAATTGTTATCATAGATAAGCAAAATATTTGTTGTGTATTTATAAACGAATAGATAGTTTTTGTATCTTTATAGTAGAATATTGTCTTACTTACCTTCAGTGATATCTTAATTCTTTCAGACTGAAAAGCACATCACTGAAATAATTAAAATGTGCATTTTCTTGCTTTATATTTCATTTGAGGATGTGAATATATAGCCTTTACTTAAACTTAAATATACCTAAAATGAAAAGAGTATTACAACTTTGCCCATATTTCATTTAGTAATGTTTTATTAACTTGTTCTTTTTGATAGTGGTACAAGCAGCAACAATATTCCCCTGATGAGGATAGCACAAAGTGTGAAACAGACCAAACAGAAAAGCTCAAAGGTGCTCAAAGAAGGCTGGATGGTACATTACACAAATAAAGACAGCATGGTAAAAATTAGTGAATTCAACTCAGAATGTTTGCTGAGCTGTTAATTTTCTTCAAGTTTTTGTTTGTTTCATATTTGGTAAATCAAGAGAATAAGTTATTTTAACTATTTTCGTGTTAATTATAAGGTTTACTTAGGCAGATAAGTAATTTTTATGGCATTTTATGAAAATTATAAAATTGAAATACATTTTTTCTTTTGTGCTATTCCAATTCATCTTTTAATAAAAGAGTGGGGCAAGTTAAAATATTGAGTGATATCACAAATAAAGTATGGCATTGAGGGAAATAAACTATTTATGGTATTCACAATCAGTATTTAACTATTTTAAGTAAACTATTTATGGTATTCACAATCAGTATTTAACTATTTTAAATAAACTATTTATGGTATTCACAATCAGTGTTTAGCTATTTTAAGTAAACTATTTATGGTATTCACAATCAGTGTTTAACTATTTTAAGTAAACTATTTATGGTATTCACAATCAGTATTTAACTATTTTAAGTAAACTATTTATGGTATTCACAATCAGTATTTAACTATTTTAAGTAAACTATTTATGGTATTCGCAATCAGTATTTAACTATTTTAAGTGAAGTAGTTTATGGTATTCTAAATTACTTGCATGAAAGAGAGGAACAGGGTTTGCAATAGTACTAGCAGTACAGGTTACCGGTATGGTACTCGAGCATCTCTAATCATGTGACTTGAGCAGTTAGAAATTCAACTATTATTCGCAGTGTGTTCTCATGGGAAAATGTTTTTCACATCAAACTAAATTGTCAATTATCTGCAAGCTCACATGGTATGACAACTGTGGCAATGAATCAGTTGAAATCTAGGTTTTCTATTGGTTATAAATTTAATAGGAGTTGGCCTCAGAAAAAATCTATTAGCAAATTGTAAATTACAGCATGCCAGAAGCAGGCGTGGAAAGTGGTTTCTGAATTTTCATTGATTGCTCTTTAGCCCCATAAAATTGAAGAATATAAAAACGTAGCTTCAGAATATTGATGATCAAATTATAGAGAATATTTTACACAACATTTCATAGTTTTCTAGGAGGTGGACAAAATAATCCAGAAGAGAAGATGGTTCAGAAACAAATATCCAAGTTCTTAAATATTTTCTTATACAATTAAGAACTTAAAGCTTATAAAATATTAAAATTTGATTTATTATCTATGGTTTGATGTCAAGTTTGCTCATATACCATGATAATTAAGTAGTGTAATTAAATTTTGAATGTAACACACTAAAATGTTGTGAAATTCACAGTTTGACCCGCCCACATGCTAAGGGTTAATCATGCATGCACCTACTTACATGCAGTCAGTCACATAGGCACATTCATGTTCTCTTCTAGAGTGTGGGAATCACCAGTTTCCCATATTTCATGCTGTTGTCGATTTTCACGGTGACATTCACTTATCGGCTGAAGTATGTACTCAAAACTACCACATGAAACATTTATAATTCTGTGAAAAGTGAAGTTGAAATACCAGAGGAGGCATTCGGTCAAAATTCCGAAGATGGGACATGTGATAACACATATTATTCTCAACATATGATATACTATAAACCAGTACTGGTACCACTGGTACTGATGGCTTGGTACCATTACTGAACACCAAGTACCACTGGTACTGGTACTGACTGCACACCCTGGAGAGGAAATAGTGCTTTAATTATATTTACAATAAATTAGAAGACAGAAAAAAAATTAATGAATGAGAGTGAAACCAGTAATGCATTTGTATGCTGTGCCAAATAAGTTATGGGATTGATGCAAGTAAAATGATTTTAGATAATGTTCTAACTCCAGTTTGATAACCTGTCTTATCCTAAAAGTAATTTTTCTATATTGTACATGTATTTATCGTGAATGAAATTCAAAAGTTTTTTTTTTTTTCTATTCTGTGGCATATTGCAAGAATTTGCCTGTATTAGTCAAAAGTTGAGTCTCAAATTTCATAAATATTTTCACCTGTATAATATCAATGTTTGTAGTAGTTATTATTATTTCATTGTTTTTTTCACAATTTGTATTACCACAGAGAAAACGACACTATTGGAGGTTGGATACTAAAGCAATAACAATGTTTCAAAATGAAATAGCTTCCAAGTACTATAAGGTAAGTTTTTCCTTGTTGGTCAAAAAAATTCTTAACTGAGTAATTCTAAGACCTTAAGAGTGAAAGTAAGGAAGAAGTATAACAATATGTAAACCACAATCTCTCTGCCATATCTAGGCACTGGTACATAGGGTTTGTGCCCTGATTCTGTTTGACAGTGTCCTGAATCCATTTGGTGCTCTTGAAAAATCAGAATAGAAAACCATGATCAATATCATACTGAAATGCAGAAAATTCCTGCAAGTTATGGGCTTGAGCCCCAAATCTTTTAAGTACCTAGCCATGGTTCTGACCAGAACTCGTAAGGCCAACTAAGATACAACAGTTCCAGTAGTGTTTGAGACACTACTTATATTATCAAATTGCCTGAACAGCTACTGTTATGGAGTGAACTAGATTATGAATTTTATACGAGTCATTTACAAATCAAAATTAGGATAAGGATTAATAACAAAATATTGTTGGAGATTAAGCATCATTGCTTTAGAATTTTTTCAGAATATGTAATGCATACAGTGTGTCAATTATGTTTCAATTCATGTTAAGCGTTATTTGCTTTAACATATTTGAATTCATTGTGTTGAAACTGAAGAAATGAAAATGAGGTGTAACATTAAACCAGTATGTCAAAAATTCAAGCATTTTTATAGTAAAACTCATAATTCTTAATCAGAAGCAAATAATCTTATTTTTTTAAAATATGAAAAGACTCATGCTAAAATATTTTCTAAAGTAACAACAGTTTTTATAACTCAGATGACTATATTTCTAGCTAAAATGCACACAACAATAAAATAACTAATATAAAAAATCTTCAGGTAAGTTATCATTCTTTAAACGTTCTATATACCGATAAAGACATCATTGGTATAATGTCATTGATGATAATATACATAAAACGGAAGTCTGAGATATGTTTAACTTCCACTGATTTAGTGTCCATTCTTTCTAGCTTGTGACTCTTATCTCATAGTTATTCTTATAGGCATAAGCAAATAGAGTAGAAGAGTTAAAGATATATATATATTTTTAACATTATAAGGAAATCCCACTGTCAGAAATATTGTCCATTGAAACTGCAAAGCATCCACTAAATACTGAATCATCTAGATCCTGCCATTGTTTTGAGCTTCGAACAGCCAATTTAGACTATTTTGTAGGGGAAGAACCAAACAGAAACCACGGCTGGGAAGATGTAATTCGGCAGGCTCTGATGCCAGTGACAGTAACTCAGAATAATCGTGCCTCAAGTAAGCAGGGTCACTTATTAAATAGTTTTAGTTCTCACTCATTGGTATGTGAATTATTATATGTGTATCAAGAAAATTATGCTTGTATTTGACACCTGTCCTTCAAATTTTATTTCCAGTACTTCCACACATTATTCTTTAGTCTTAAAATAAAATGTATACTTTGTAAGTTGTTTTTATGTATATCCTCTATTAAGCTTAAAATTGTGAAATACGAATAAAGAAATTTCATTAAAAAAACACGTTCTTAATCTTCTAGAACTTTTAAATAAATCAAAACTCATATTCTTGTTAAATATGCAGATATTATAACCTTTTGAATTACCTGGTCTTCAAACCTACAAACTAATGTGTTTGGTCTATTGATTTTTTTCTGGACATCAATTTTTAATATTTTTAAGATCAGCTATTTGGTCTATGGTACCCAGAAGTTACCCACAACAATTCTAGTTCAGTTAAGGTGACATGAGAAACCTCTGACCTTTGTGATGTAGACAAAAAATAGCATCAGATGAGTAAATGAAAAATTAATTAACATAGCATCACACAACATTTCATTTCAAGCAGCATATTATAGATGGCATTTTGTGACATTAATACATTTTTCATAATCGTATGAAGTGTTTTGTTTTCTTTTTGTATCAGTTCAGTTAAACACTTAAGTTAAATCTAAATGAGCTATTCAACAATAAACTTATTTTTATGTTAGTTTGAATAGTGATTAACCTCCTACTCCCCCAAGAGATTATTTTTAAACATTCTACATCGTAAGAATATAAGTAATGTAAGTTCATCAACTCTTTATTGTAGATCAAACAACAGATGGAGAGAAGCAAGTAGAAAATGTTGACCATAGTAATAAGGTAAGGCATATAAATGGGTAAGATAACTCTTTATGGAAGTAATGATCATATTCACACAAGTTAAGACGTGCTTTATTAAACTAAGTTTTTAGTGAAAATAGTGAGCAGTGTCATAAGCTATGAAATAATTTATTAAATTAAGTGTTTGGTAGAAGTAGTGAGCAGTGTTACAAGCAAAGATATAATTTATTAAATTAAGTGTTTTGTGAAAGTTGTGAGCAGGGTTACGAGCAAAGACATAAGTTATTAAATTAAGTGTTTGTTAAAAGTTGTGAGCAGTGTTACAAGCTAAAATACAATTTATCAAATTAAGTGTTTGGTAAAAGTTGTGAGCAGTGTTACAAGCTAAGACAATTTATTAAATTGTTTGGTAAAAGTAGTGAGCAGTGTTATGAGCTAAGACATAATTTATTAAATTAAGTGTTTGTTGGAAGTAGTGAGCAGTGTTATGAGCTAAGACATAATTTATTAAATTAAGTGTTTTGTGAAAGTAGTGAGCAGTGTTACAAGCTAATATATAATTTATTAAATTAAGTTTTTAGTAGAAGTAGAGAGCAGTGTTACAAGATAAGACAGAATTTATTAAATTAAGTGTTTAGTGGAAGTAGCAAGCAGTGTCACAAGCTAAGACATAATTTATTAAATCACGTGTTTTGTGGAAGTAGCAAGCAGTGTTACAAGCTAAGACATAATTTATTAAATCAAGTGTTTTGTGGAAGTAGTGACCATTGCCACAAGCTAAGACCTAATGTGGGTACATTTAGCAACTTAATGGAAACTGTAGTATGTATAACAAGATGAAATATGTCTTAACTGAAATGTTAAGGTTGCAGCAAAGAGATAGTAACAAGTTAAATATACATATTTGAAAAAATATTTGTATTTCTTTCTATGTTGTTACTTAAAGTCCTCATTCTGTTAGATTCTTATCCTGGCAACATTTCATGTAATTGTGTGGTATTCTACTCTTAAGCGTTTTTCATTTTTGATTTTAGGACATAAGCCGTATGTATCAGATCATACCAGATGAAGTTCTTGGCTCAGGGCAGTTTGGTATTGTGTATGGAGGTTAGTTCATGTATCAACCTCAATTTTTTGTTTTATATATTGAATTAGTTTTAGCATAACATAAATTTTTTGTAAAACAGGGGACCTGTTGATCCATCTAGGCCATTCCATCCATTATACTAAAAAAAAATACAACTCAAAGTCAGCCCTTATTATTTAATCATTTATCAAACCATCTCTTAAACTCCATTACAGTTACTGCATCCACCACATCTGAAGGCAACCCAATCCAAGGGCCAACTACGCTGTTAGAAGTAAAACTGTCTTAACTGAAGATGAATCCTACCCTGACAAAATTTATATTTATCTCCCTTAATTATACCATTCTGACCATTAAACACAAAAGATGCACTGACTCTATCCATTCCATTAACAATCTTAAACAACTCAATCAGATCCCCTCCAATTCCTTTTTTTTTTTCTAAGAGAAAAAAATTTCAGATATTGTAATATGTTTTCATATGACAACCTTTCTGTCCCAGGTATCATCCTCTGAACCCTTTCTAACGATTATATGTCCTTCCTAAAGTAAGAAACCAAAGACTTAACACAATACTCCAAATTTGGCCTAACCAGTGACATATACAATGAAATTATAACCTCTTTAGATTTGTATTCAGTATTTTACTAGATACAATTTAAAATCCTGTTTGTCCTACCACTAACAACAGTGCTTGGATGGCTTAAGAGACTGATCAACCAGAACACCAAGACCCTTTTCTTCCATAACACTGTTAACATGATTCCCATCAAAATTATACTTATAATTCAAATTATGATAACCCACATGCATTACCTTGCATTCATTATAATTAAAAGCCATTTATTTGCCCAACTCATCAAACGATCTAAATCCTTCTGTAAAACAACAGCATCCTCCTCACAGCCAGCAACACCCAAAACTTTAATATTGTCATTAAACTGTAGTAATTTATTGACCATTCCTTCATCTGTGTCATCAATTTTTATTTATAAAGAGCAAAGGTCTTAACACTGAGCCCTGAGGTTCTGCACTTGCGATGTTAATCCAGTTTGACTGAACTCCATTTATAACAACCTTCTACTTTCTTCCATTTTGTAACTTTTCTGTCCAATGAGCTAACTTATCCCCCCACACCTACAGAGATATTTTTTTAACAAGCTTTCAAACCTTTTATGTGGCACCTTGCCAATTTCTTTCTGAAAATCCATATACACCAAATTCACATCTGTACCTTTCATATAGGTAAGTAATAACCTCTTCAAAGAATATCTAAAGATAAATAAGACAGGATTTCCCCCTAGTGAAACTATAATGAATATCTAACAAAAGTTTAAAGATTTGGCAAAGCATCTTTTGTCAAACTTTCCAAAACTTTTCCTGCCACTGATTTAAAACTAATAGGTCTATAATTACTGGGACAATTTTTATCACTTTTCTGGAAAAGAGGAATAACATTAGCCCACTCTCAATTTTCAACTACCTGTCCACTGTTTGAGAACTTATAAAAATTATTCTCAAGTGGCTCACATATTGAATTGTTAACCTCCTTCAAAACCGAGTGGGAATGTTATCTGGCCCAGTAGCCTTTCATTCTTTAAACTTCACAACTTTTTCCTAACGAGCTCAAAATTCATATGATTATTCTGATCGACCTTGTTTCCTTCTAGCAACTGAATATTGTTTCAATTTTCATTTGTAAAAGTTGAAAAAAGTAGAATTTAATAACCCATCCATCTCATAGTCATCAAAAATGAGCCTTCTTTTATTATACCTCAAAGGCTCTACTCACATCCTAACATTTTGTATACCTTTAATGTGTATTTAAAGAAATAGTTACTGTTAAATTTTACATTTTTAACCTACTTTTTGTCTTTTTCAATTTCCTAATGTCCTGTTTGATCAACTCTCCCATCATAGCAGTCAACTTAAACTTCTTAAATTTATAATTCTTCTATTTGACTTTATTTCTTATGACCTTTATGAGCCAATCTCGTCTTTTACTTGCAGCTATCTTGAATACTTAAAAATTTACTTTTAAGATATTTCCATATTTGTTCAGTATATCCAGTTAGTTCAGTTGCCCAATTCTCAATAGGTAATTCTTGTAAAATCCACTCAAAGCTGCTTTTTTTAAATTTTTAGTCAAAATCTTATTATTCCTGAACTGCAAAGAAAGTAAGACACCAAATCTAATTGCACAGTGATAATTTGCAGCCAGAAGTTCGTCCATCATCACTCTTTTACACATATCTATATAAGAAGTTAACAATAAGTCTAAAATAACATTATTCCTAGTTGGGTCTTTGATCAATTAGTGAATAAAGCTATCCTGAATGGTTTTTGAAAACCTGTCTTGCTTATATTTTACTCTAAAATTTCCCATTCTGTGTGCCTGGAATTAAAATCTCCCATAATTATGACCTCATTAACAGCTGAAATCTTATTCTTACTGTAAAATTTTTTCCTAAATTTCATCAGTTTTATCTGGTAGTTTGTAACAAATTCCAACTAAACGTTTTCTTCCCTTATAAAAACCAGAAAAGATTCAATCTCCGAGCTATTATCTTTGATATCTTAAAATTTAACAGGATGTCACTAACATTTTACATATAAAGCCACTTCTTAAAATCGTTTTGATACTCTATCCCTATTATGTAATGTAAAAACATGTATTTCAAAAACATTTCTGTCATCAAAATAGTCTACATTTAACAGTTTCTGTTATTCCTATCATATCAAAATTTTCCATTCTGATTTGTGCTGTAAAGTCATGTATTTTATTTCTGTACTTTGTTCCCACACTTTTCTTTTCTCTACATCTTAGTTTTTCTGCATTTACTTTATCCAGGCCCTCACCACTGTCTATTCCTAGTTACAGCTGCTATTACAGCAAAGTTAATAGCCCTTGCAAACAAACCAAACCCTACCCTGTTTAAATGTAGACCATTCCAAAAAGCTCCCATTTCTCACTGAACTGATCCCACAAATCCAACCTGCTTGTCCATATGTATTAACCTAAGCCTGGAATTCATCCCTTGTGACCACTTATAATCTAATCCACACAATTAAATCTCAGCATTATCCCTCAGAGGATTAACTTATGTCATTTTCTTTAAATACCTTTATCAACCCCTGTACTTATCACTTAGCTTTTCTCACCTACCATTCCTTACATCATTGTACCCTATATGCACAACAAAGACAGCAACATTGCTAACACCAGTTACTGTATTACTGTTTTGTCAGTTATGCATTCCACCCCTGCTCCTAGATAGCATAATCTAGTTCTTTTCACCCTATTTACCCTACAGGCTATCCTATACACGTGCTGTACTAAAGAATCACCCCTGACTATAACCTTCTTAAATTTTATACTTCCATTCTTTTCTGTCCTATTGTTATCTTTCCCTTTTATAGTTCCTCCTCTACAAAAGCTAAGGGCAGAAATCTATTACTTAAAAGCAGGGTCACCGACTGTTGTTCTGGGGGAGCCTGGCTTGAGCTGTTTTTATTTATTGTTTTAATTGTATTACCTTATAAGTCTTAGAAATATGTTCTTAATGTACACCAAGATTGCTTTACATTTAAATCATATCTGAAGCTTTTTAAGTGACCCCCCTTTCCCCCTGAAATGGTTTGCTCATGAGCACACAAACAGATATCATGTGTATGTACTGACATCATGTATGCATTATGCTCATGCAGTCGTGGTCACTCAGTACTTAGAAATTGATTGATTCAAAACATGTACTGTCATAAATCCAGCTTGCAAAAGCAGAAAAAGAGAAAGGAAAATAAAAATAAACGAATTGGAGCTGAGAAGCAGGAACCCTATCACAAAGTATTTTGTAAGTGATATAAATAAAGAGAAAAATAATGTGCATTCACAAGGAGAATGTGTTGGTTAATCTAGGCTTAACAGCGTGGACATAAACTCTCTGACACTACTAACTCAATGAAGAAAAAGAAAAACTTCAGCAACAGACCATCCCCATCAGGATGCAACTGACTTTTTTACATAGATAACCCAGGTATGTGGCCAGAGAGACAAATTTATCTTGAGAGGCAAAATATCATCAATTGTTGTCAAAAAAGCCATGTTGACCTTACAGAATTATCTAAATCTATGCCATTAGATTCTAATGCTGGACATTCCTTGAGTATCTTCTGTATTCAAAATCACCAAGTGGCTGTGAGAATGCAAAGAGAGATTGGTTAACTTGGAGTAAAAGAGCCTTATTTTGCATCCCTTGTTTGCTATTTTTTAATGAGCTGAAGAAAAACTCTTGTAGTGCACTGTGCAAAAAATAAGAAGGGTTCAGTGTGGCAAGTGACGCAAATTATATGACAGACTTCCCAAGCATGAAGGGCATAGTCAGCATCATCATTGTTACTGGCAATGGAGAAACCTGCAGCAGGCTTTACAAGGTAGAGGGATCAATAGCCAGCTTCAGAAGCAAGTACAATCAGAAGCTGAAAAGAACAAAGCTTTACTAGAGAGACCTTTGGATGTAACCTTATTTCTGGCATCCAGAAATTTTGTATTTCAAGGAAGCAGTTCCACAATTAACGATGTTCACAATGGCAATTTCTTGGGTGTACTTGAACTAATATCGCACTCTGACCCCCTTCTGCATGATCACTTACAAAAGGTAAAACAAAGTCAAGAAAAGGGAGGAAAAATGCAAGTTCATTATCTATCTTGGGAAAGTCAGAATGAATTTATTGAATTATGTGGTCAGCATGCTTTGAACACGATTGTGGCAGAGATGAATGAATCTATTTTTCTGTGATATGTGACACTACACCAGACATCTCCCATACAGAGAAAAATGTACTTACCCTGCTTAGTAGAACCTGCTCATTACAATTAAAGCTGCTACTTCTAGTTATAATTGTACTGTTCCTAACTTCCTGAAATCATTACTAGCTACTTTAACCTTTGTGTGTAAAGGCTTAATTTTCTCATTTAGATCTTGCTGTCATTACCCACAGTATACCCTTCTCTCTATCTATCACCTCTATTTAGTGTAGCCTCCAATTTCTCTTCCAACCTGCAAATTATAAATAAAGATTGTACATCTTTACTACTAGCTTCAATAAAAGTGCATGTCAGTCTCAAGGTCCCAAATAAAACTCGCTCCTTGCAGACTGGAAGCACTTCACACTTACACTACTTTTTAACCATTTTGAGAGTGAATAAACTAGAAAATTGATATTACGATACTTGCTTCAATTTGTTTTTTCATAAGAAAGTGTTAAAATTAGGAAGTTAAGCATAAAAAATTTGAATTTTTAATGAAAATTCATAGCATATCTCATAACATTGACTTTCATAATCCTTAGAATAATGGGAAATAGATGAGAGATGTTAATCGAGAACACTTCAAGTTTAACTCATACTCTTCTGTTAGTATCAGACAAGGGCAGAAATTTAAAGTAGCAACATATAAAACTAAGAGATAAAAGTGTATTTTTACTACATAAATTTTCAGCAGTTATATAATTAAATAATTATGTATTAAAAGCAACATCGTAGAAAATCATGTGTTTATTAATGTGTCAACATCTAGAAGAAGTATATACTTCCAAGATACAAAGATTTTCCTGTGCAGATACAGATATTTTTTGAATATGTTCTGTATTCTCTAACTAGCATTAAGAACCTAAATAGCAAATCATCACGTCTCCTGATTTTTGCTTTGCTTAAGGTGTGCACCGAACGAGTGGGAGATCTGTCGCCATCAAGGTAATTGACAAAACAAAACTGCCAACTAAGAAAGAAGCCCACTTGAAGAATGAGGTGATTATTCTCCAGAATATTGACCATCCTGGAGTTGTTACTATGGAGAAGATGTTAGAGACCCCAGGCAGGGTAAGATTATCTTTCATGTTAGCATTTGAAAATATTAGGTTTTATATTCCAGCGGTAGTGATTGCTGTTTTTGATACTAGAGCCCCACAAACAAAGGTTTATTATTTGTATGACAGTTCAAACCTAAATCATACCTATGAATAATGAAGCTAGTTGAAATAAACAAGTTATATCACAGTATTATTATGTTGTAAAGTTGTAATTATTGAAGTGTTATCTAATTACACGATACGAGAAACCAGTACAATTTTGTTTTTGTTTTTTCAGATATTTGTCATAATGGAAAAACTAAAAGGAGATATGCTAGAAATGATTCTGTCAAGTGAAAAGCGACGGTTGTCTGAAAGAATCACAAGATTTCTTGTGTATCAGGTAGGATACGAATGACCTTTTATTTTCATCTTTATAGGTTATCAGACAGATATGAGTATGATATGATTAACAACTCATCTCAACTGATGTAAAAGTGATAATGAAATATGAGAAAGATCACAATGAAGTAACAATGGTGGTAAGTATAACACTTTTAAGTTATTACCAGAAACTAGTGTAACTAAAATACATGAGCTTTAGTGTTATACAACTTGCAACGACTAGTGAACAAAGAAAATATTTTAGCATGCATTTCAATGATACTTTGCTGTAAATTATACAAACATGCTGTTTACTCAACATACAAGGTTTTTACATAATCTAAGCAATAAAAAAACATAATTATAATTGTTGAAACATGTTATCTTTTGTGACTGAAATATGATACTTTGCTTTTTATCTTTGACAGTATACTCACATGCAGTTTCATCTCACAACTGGTTTCACTAATATTTCATTCAGAGTACTAAGTAAGAAACATTGTTGACAAGGTTTACATAAAGATTATAATTGAGCTATTGTAATTGCACTATTTTTGCCCGAGTTCCATATAAGACTCTGTTACAAAAATTATCAATAGCCTTTCATTTATGTGTAGCTCAACTTACGAATATATATTCAAGAAACTGAGACTTTTATATACTGTTTTTCTAATAGATTTTAATGGCCTTGAAACACCTACATTTCAAGAACATTGTTCACTGTGACCTTAAACCTGAGAATGTTCTGTTATCTTCAGGTTCCGATTTTCCTCAGGTAAGTTGCGTTAGATACAATTTGATTTCAGCTCATTTTCATGTAAGAATTAACAGACATTTTGTGATTCAGACTTTTGCTAGGTAAGCAACCTGTGGTGGACATTTTTAACGTTTGACCAGGGCCAGCTCAAGATGGGTTCGAAGGGCTCAAAGAACCCACTACAAAAATTTTAAAACTTTAGAAAAAATACTAACAAATAAGGAGAAAGGGGAACTTTGTGGTGAAAGTTTGTGTGCAGAACTTAAATTAATATTACCAGAAAATTCAATTCCAGATAAGGTCTAATTTTGTATATGGGAAAATCAAATCAAAGAAATTTTCCAAATACGTTTATTGCTCTAAGAATTTTATTAACTTTGTCTATTAGTGTGGTAAGTGGCAAAAGATTGTTTTTGAGACTAAAGTTGATAAAAACACTTTTGCATTCTGTAATGCGACAAAAGAGACTAAACAGCTTAGCAATAATTTCTGTAGAAAATGAAATGGCCAGAGATATTAAGATAGATCAATTAAGGAAGTTTTGCCATGTTAAAAGCTCATAAAGTTCCATATTCTAAAAGCTAATCTAAGTTTTCTTTATGTATTTTTCCCACTATGTACCATTTTTGTACTCTATATTCTGAATTTTAAAAATTATTTAAAATTTTGTAAAGTGCGGAAAAATAAATCAAAATATAAAAATTTGAAAAAGGGTGTAATTGATTATTTTTCCACCTTTAAATTTTTGAACTTGGGCTGGCACTACTTGTGATAATTGGTAAATTTTTCTGAGTTAGATTTTCTTGTGTAAATAACATCAAACAGATTCTAATCATGTACATATTTTTCAAAAAAGATAAACTACATGGATAGATGTACTTAAGTACAATTGTTTTATTAGTCTATCTGGCTGTATATCTGTGGCTCATAATTTATGCTATTTTTCTAAAGCTAACTTAATTTCAGGTAAAACTTTGTGATTTTGGATTTGCCCGAATCATTGGTGAAAAATCCTTTAGGAGGTCACTAGTGGGAACCCCTGCATACTTAGGTAAGGAGAGAGAAATATAATGTCTGATTAATTGTGAAGACACCACAATTGAACTATAGTATAGTTTCTATACTATAGATTATACATTTTTCCATGTTTTAACAAAACTACCGACTATGAAATAAATGACTATTTCATTGTAGTCAAAGTATATTCAAATAATAAACCATTCATGACCAATAGACATAAACTTTAAGTATAAGTTTGGCTGACTTACCAAGGTTTTTGAGTGTAGGTCTATATATACTTAGTATAAACATTTTGATAAATTCATAGTCTGAAAGTAGTTTATAAAACTATTAAAATAAATAAATGAGCAAAGCCCATGAACTTGGTAAAGTAAACTTTTGCCACTGACTATGTTGTAATAAATATGTCTTTCATAGGTTTCATTATTATGAACAGAGATCACGATGATGGGTCAACAGCATTAAAAATGTTCTATGTTGTTCTAGTTGTATACAACGTTTATTTGAGTTTAGTCATAAATATTGTTTTTTTTTTAGGTGATATTGCACAAACTACATTCTGTACACACACACACACACACACATATATATATATATAAACATTGATTAAATTTAGAAAGTAATAAATGAATGTGTATGCAAAAATGTGTATTCATGCCTGTTATATTTAAATTATTTAATAACTTCCTTTATATTGCTACTTTTAAAATAATTATTAGTTTATGGGCCTTGACTATTTAGCATTATATAAACACACAAGTGTACAATAATTTCCTTTTGGCCATTGTCCTTGTTGATTCATTTTCAGTAATCTTAATTGTAGCACCAGAAGTAGTGAGAAATAAAGGATATAACAGATCTCTGGACATGTGGTCAGTTGGGGTCATTGTTTACGTCAGGTAAGGTTGTCCTAATGGGGACATAATATTGTGACATACAATTTCAGTGTAAATGCATTAAAGAAGCAAGTAATATAAACACCCAAAGTTAAAATTGAAAAAGATGCACTAATATTTAAAGAGATCATTCAGTGTTGTAAGAATTTGTATCACATGTTGCTCAACGTTCTTGTTTTAGTAGTAATTGTTTGATATACAAAAGGTTTACATCCCCTGAGACATGTTCCATTTTTTTTTTTAGATTCAAATGTTTGCTATTTTGTTGTTTTCAGTTTCCCCATATTTGAGAAAGCCCTATTGAATTTTTGAGCTTGAGCTAACCACCTAAGGCATCTTATAGCCCTACTTCAACAATTGTTGCTTTTACAGCTGGAAATGTATAAAAATTTAAAAGGAATTTTAAAAACCTTATAGCAATATTGAAGCTTTGTTACTGTTTTTTTTAGAGAAAGTTTATAATGGAGCTCAAAATTAGGTTTAGGTTACTTAGTTACAAAAAAATGCTGTTACCTTTCAATCACTCAATTTCTTTTAATTGTGTAAGAAATTTCATTTAACTTAAGGTTTGTTTACAAACTAATTCAAGATAAAATTCCTATTCTGTTTATTTGTATTTTATGAATAAAAAATCTTTTTTTTTTAAACTAACAAAGTTTAGATTTTCTCTTATTGCTACAGTTTAAGTGGAACCTTTCCTTTCAATGAGGAGGAAGACATTCATGATCAGATCCAGAATGCTACTTTCATGTACCCACCTAATCCATGGAAGGAAATATCAGCCAGTGGTTGGTTTTATAATATTTTCCTAGAATTATTTTCAATGGGTATTAGATATTTGCCTTTCAGTGTAGCCCACAGTCATATGTGGTTATGTAGAGTGACAGTTGTTTTTATAATCCTTCATACATTTACAGTTTCAAGAACATGTGAGATCATCTGGCGTATAGATCACACATAATTTATCTAAATATTGACTCAAATTATTAGTATTGTATTTATTCATATTTCAATCAATATAGAGAGGAATAAGAGGGATGGGGTGTTTGAAGAGTACTCCTATTCCCTTAGTTTTGTTCTGATTTTTATTTGAGAAACTATATTTAACTCTGTGTGTGTGTATACTTAGTTTGTTTCTTTTTTTGAAATAGATAAAGTAAAGTTGATATATGTGAAAGGAAACTTTTATATAGAGTATTACAATGTTCTTTTTGTTTAAGTTCATAGCTTTGGCTGAGTTGACTATATCATAAAATACTCTTCTGAATATGAAAACGGACATTGTTGAAAGTAGAATGCAAATACACAAATTTAATAAGTAATGTCAAGTGTATTTCAAATATATTTTGTCTTAAGGTCTACATCATGTATTATGCTCGGTAATACAAATGCTTCGTGTATGTAAGACATTTCTAAATGTAGTATTTCATGTAAGCCAAAACATTACCCAAACTCTTACCATATGATTAAATTATCTGCTCTTAGAATCTTATATTTTTTCTCAAGTGTACAGCAGATATGTGACTAGGTGTGTTTTTGTTATAATAAACAAAGAATTGTAAAATATTTTTTGAAGTGAAAAGATTGACACTTTATGTATTTAAATTACATGAAAAATGCTAATTAATATTTTGCAAAACGTGACACTAAATCATCATAATTCTGACTCTTTGTTCAGCTATTGACCTGATACAGAACTTACTACAAGTGAAAACAAGAAAAAGGTACACTGTTGACAAGTCTTTATGTCATCCTTGGTTGCAGGTAAGCAGTGAAAGTTTTCCAATGTTACTTAGACATTATGTATATGTTGTTGATTTTTTTAATTATTAAAAAACCCAGTTGTTCAACAGTAAGTCTGAAGGCTTATAACACTAGAAACAACACAGATAGTCCAGCATGTAGCTTTGTGCTTAACTACAAAAAAACAAAAATTAATTATTACATTGTATCATACTTAAAATCTCTAAGAAGAATGTTTTCTATTATTATATTGTATCAATTAAAGGAGAGATTAGACTTTGTAATATATTTTGTTTTGAAAAACAAAATCATTTACTTAAAAGTGTAAATTTTTTTTCTAAATTTTTCATGCCATGTTTAGTGTAAAATCACAAAAACTAAACCTAGGTTTAAAATTACCAAAAACAATTACTTGCACCTGCTGCTAGTAGAGGTACCAAAAAATTATAACTTTCACTAACTATATAGTTAAAACCAACCTGCTATACCTCCTCCACTTTCTCCCTGAGGTTTAAAAAAAGGCTTTGACTAGGCTTGAGCATGGAAGGTAACCAGCAAGTACATGTGAATGGTTGAAAAGTATGACTTTGACCAACTGTGGAATTGGAGCAAAGAAACAAAATCTTTGAGACTAACTTTCAAGCTTTTTCCCGATACAGTACCTTCCCTCCCCTCACAAGATTAGCTTTTCCCATATTGTGCTGCCCTTTTTATAAAACGCATGCTACAAGCCTTCCACATCCCTCTGTTGGAATCCAAAGTTCCAACATATCTCTCATGTGAATTATCATGTGTCAACTCTCCACCAGGAGGAGAGCACTACTATGATGTGACTCCCTCTATGTGCCACTGCTGATCTATCACTTCTTGTTTGGCACTGCTTGAGTGCAGAAGTCTTTCTTTAGACCACTGATTACCCTAGAAGTGGTTTAACTTTATTTAACTTACTTCAACTTCATTTCACTTTTATTTGAGAGCATTTGATTTCCCCATTTTTGCCGTGCATATTTTGCTGTTTAGTATCTAGCCTGAATTCCAAAGTTGCTGTTACCACTTTGGGTGCGTATTACTCATCTGTTACTGCACTTTTGGCCACTGGCGTGACCCGTTCGGGGATTTCTCAGCCGTTTGTCACAGAGAGATGGAGCATTGTATGGAACACACATCGTCCCCTGTTCGTGCCCATCTTCTTTCTGTACTTTTTAAGCCTTTTACAGGTGCAGACTGACGAAATTTTGATCTTTCACCCCCCCCAAAGTTCACAGTGCCTTCGAACACCTTCCTGGGGATTCTGTTCAGCCCTCATCGGGTTTCTTGGTGATATTATATCTCAGGTATGTGATGTTTTACTTCTAACCATAGTTATTTTGACTCGCATCCTTCCTTATTGCTTGTTTCTGCCTCTTTTTCTGTCCTCTTATGTTAGGGTTTACACTGTGCTTTGTTGCCCTGTTGGGTGATGACATTAGTGTGCCTAGTTTCTCGCAAGCTTCGGTCGGTCCGCCCTTGCGACTTTTAGGGTGAGATTTCAAATTCTGGACCACCAGTTGTGGGTTCAGTTTTACCTGTTTGAGAGGATGGGTCCCAATTTTCCTGTTTATTCTACCTGTGCCCGTTTTCTTGCCTTAGTCGTCCTCTGACACTTTTTGTAATACCTCATCTCAATCCTCTTCCTGTCTGAGGCTTTTCACAAGAATCATGTCAGGTTTTCTGGGGACATCCTCACCCTCTTCCCTTCCACTGTCGTCCGCATGTTGTTTTCAGTTCTTGCCCTACACACATGGTTCACTTCTGTTTAGGACTTTTTGGGTTGTGATGCTATGTTTTTGCAGACCTGTCACCCAGCTCCATATATACTGGACCTTCTTGTTTTACGACATTTCGAGTGTAATACAATTACTGTGTCCTTGGAGTCACGAGTGGCTTCTGTCCAACAGTGATCCACCTTTCACAACGGGGACCTTGTTGGGTTTCCATCAGAGCTGGGTGTGGCTCCAAGTTCTGTTTCCCGACCCAACCCTTGACAGTCCCGCCTGTCCCAGCTTCCAGTGATACCACACTTAGTCATTTTTCACGGTAACACATGGTATGCAGGCAACTGTTCTGATGACTGCTTGGTGAGTTCAAGATTGGGGTAGCTCGTGTGGCAAATTTGGTTCATCAGAGAAGGCCTTTCCTCTCCGAAATTTGGGTTCATGGTGTACTATCAGATGATTTTGTCATACCCTTTTCCCCTCTATCCCATTTCCTTCCTCCCCCTCAGGATCCCTGGTCACGCTAGTGTCTGCCGAGGCAGCGCTTGACCTCTTCCCCCAACAGGTTGTCATACCTGCTTCATTCGGGTTTTATTTCTGCCAGTTTGCCCGTAATGGGGTAGTATACCTTTTCAGCACCCTGCTTTTTGGTCTGGCTTCCACGACATATTTTTTTGTTAAGTGGTTCACCCCATTGCTCAGCGTATTCATACCTTGGGGCTGCAATTCCACACTTACAGGGATCTCTGGCTTCTTCATGCTCATTTTGAATGAGAGTTGACCAGTCCTACTCGTTAGCTCCCTCTCGATGCTGTGCGAGTGAGATGGTTGATCATATTGGAGAGGCCCTTCCTTGATACTACCCATTACCTTGTACATCTTAATGTTTTCTTCAACATCCATCTCGGTCGGACCTAACCTTCTCCTCTCTGGCTCCATTCTATGGAACTGGCCATTCAGACAGCTCTGCCTGCTCCCTTACTTACTACTGGCAAGGTTCTATCGCTTTTGGGGAGGTGGTTGTCTCTGACACCTATCAAACCCCTTGGCAGGGCTCATAGGCGTTTGCTTTAGTGGGCCCTTCATGACTAGTGGAATCTTGTACGGGATCCCCTGGATGCTCCTATTCATATTCCCTCCTTCTTGGTGCATGATCTACATTGATGGTTTGACAAGGCGGGTGTCCTGCTTCTTCCTCCACAGCCAGATTTACATCTGTTCACGTAGACATCCCATCAGGTCTATGGTGCATGGGTCAATCACCAAGAGGTTTTGGGTTATTGATCTGCTGAAGAACATTCTCTTCACATCAGCATCCTGGAACTCCTGGCTGTCCGTCGAGCATTGGATCATTTTATTTCTTTCACCAGCAGTCACCTGGTTATGATCCTTTCTGACAATTCTACAGTGGTGGCTTATATCAATCACCAAGGCAGCACCCAGTCGATACCTCTATGTTGAATCTTCTCTATTGGGCCCACTCTCATCTCATTCATTTGATGGCGTGTCATATTCCAGGTGCCTTCAATCTGGTGGTGGATCATCTTTGCTGACTGGTTCGGGTTTATCCCATGGAGTGGTCCCTACATCCTGCTATTTTTCAGTGGCACTGTCATCATTTGGGTACTCCTCATGTTGATGCATTTTCCACTGCCCTCAATCACAAATTACTTCAGTTTTGGTCCCTGTTATCCCATCCTAGGGTTTTGGCCGTAGACGCCTTCAGCCAGGATTTGTCCCACCTGTTTCTTTCTATTTATCCTCCTTTATCTGATTACTTCATCGGGTAGTCTCCCTCATCCATGCCACTCTGTGCAGAGTCCTTTTGATTGTCCCTTACTGGCCCGCTCAACAATGGTTCCCTCAGTTGCTTTGGCTCTAGGTGATTCCTCCCATCCTCTTCCCTTATTTCCAGACCTGTTACATCAACCCCAGTAGCCGGTTCTTCATTTCGCACTTCCTGTCCTCCGTCTTGATGCCTAACTTCTGTACGGTCCCTGGCGAGGCGTTCCGTATTCTCTTTCCGAGTAGTTTCTCATTTAGCCCATTCTGTTCATCCTTCTTCCTTGGCTTTTTACCAATGGAAGTGGAGTGTTTCTCACTCCTGGGCATTGGCTTGGGATTTCCCAGCTTCTCGCCCTGCAGTTGCTGGTATCACCAAATTCCTTACCTGGCTCTGAGAGGAGTTCATTGGTCTCCCCAATTTCGGAATTTGGGGAGCCTTATCCCATATCTTCAATTTATTTTCCTCCCCAGTCCTTTCCATGTTGATCTGTTCTTTCTGGCTCCTTCAACTGCGGAGACATCTGTCACTCTGGAACATTAAGGTGGTTTTCCATGCCCTCACTTTACCCCTGTTCGATCTCATTTCTTTCTGTTACTTATTTCACTTAACCTTTTCGCCCCAGGTAGGTTAAAGTGCATGTGTCATGATGTTTTGAAGCGTTATTTTTCAAAATTTTATTAAATAACATTTTTACTACTTATGTCAATGAAATTGGCATCAAAACATAGTTTATAATTTAAATTTTAATATTGTATATGTTTTAATTCTTAATTTAAAAGGAAATGTAAAGAAAGAAATGTTAAATGTCGATTTTTGTGTCCAGTTGTCTTATTGTTCAGTTTCCAACATGTACAAGTAACTAATGAATTAGAAACTCAAACTTGAGATATAGACAAGCTAAATATAAAATAAGAACCTCCCTTCTCTAGGATTTGCTGAGATAGCAATATTTTTA